AGATTCAAAACGACTATGTCTTATTCTGCCAATACGCTCATAAGAACTTGATATTCGAAATAGTCTTATGGGTGTATGGCAGGGTGATGCATGAGTAACTCATCTGAAACAGAAAAAAAGGATAAACAATTGTTTCTGCAAATATAATTTTTCCTACCCTTGCTCATCGCCGTTTTCCTGCAGAAGCGAAACAGATCTCAAATAAGTATCAGTGCAGTATACAGGGTCCATGATCTAGAGTACATCATGTATATACTACTGATAACCACTCCCTTAAAATACAAAAAATCTGAAGGCTTTCAGATTTTATATTATGCACAAAGGGGCATTTTAAACCACTACATTCAATTCAACAGCAATATCACAAAATATTTAAAAGAATATCTTTAGAATTTCCGATAAACAGTCTCGCGTGCTGGAGTTTAAAAATGTCCCCCCCTATACAGTGTTGATATTGCTTGCTTTGAAATCGATGAGTTTCTTAATCAAAAACTCATAAATGCTTTACAAAATATAAAACAGTTAATAAAACAAATTCCAAATTTGGGCTTCCACATGCCCATATTCGGGTGGAGATGTACGTTATTCAAAATTTAATGGCTTAAGGTACTGTTGTTTTATCAAAATGCGAGACACATACATACATTTATGCAGATTCTTCATTATTTAGCCTTTTTAAATATAACACAGGGCTCTAATATTTGGTGGCAACAATTTTAAAAAAAGTGATTCGTTTTTTATAATGAATCAACGCAAAATGCCAAAACGAAATTAATAGCCCTTTTGGGCTAATAAACTCTAGCACATTAAATGCTCTAACGTAGAAGCTTATAAAACAGAAGTAATGAACATAACAACAGTATTATGCATGGCTTGTTAATGTCCAGAACATTTGCACATAGCTATATTTTGGTAAGCTGTTAGTTATAGCAGATAACTCATTTTTACAAACTAAATCAAAATATTAAAAAAAAAAAAAAAAAAAAAATTGCTCTCAAAAGCCCCCGGTTTATTTGCTAATAACATGAAAACATTTCACATACGTTTTTGTTAATTTTCTCTGTGAGTTTTGAATATTACAGAGAGAAACGGTTTGCTTCTTATTAGGGTATAATAAAGATTTTTTGCTCTTTGAAGGCCATATGTGAAGGGATTTTATTTTTTATTTCTAGAATACTTTCATTCACAGTGTTGAAACTATTTTCACAAAAAGTTTTAGTTTGTTAGCCATTGTCACTGGAAGCACAGTCAACACTTGGTTAACCGGCAGTAAAATAACCAAGCTTTATCTTAAAAAAAAAAAAAAAAAAAAAAAAAAAAAAAAAAAAATTCAATGCCATTCAAACTCTATTATAATTAATGTATTTTAATGCCATTTTATATCTAAATTACTCCATTTCTAATGACTGCTATTTTTAATGATATATTTATTCTCTCATTATTTACAGTGTAACTCTATTTCTAATGACAGTTATTTTTAATGATATATTTATTCTTCCTTTATTTACAGTATATTCTTTTTATTTTAAATACTAGTTTAATTTACTTAATCAAGTGAATTTATTCTCCATATTAAACTACTAGAAAATGCAGGTAAATTGTCAACAGTTATTTTTCTCTTAAATATAATGAGGGTTATTCCTTTTCCTGTGTTCTTTTAACTGCCCTTGAACATCTTATAAGATAATATGGACGTTGTCCCAGGGCTGTGGAGTCGGAGTCGGGTAGATTTTTGGAGTAAAAGGAGTCGGAGTCGCTAAAAACTGGTCGACTCCGACTCCAGTTTTTGTGGGACAGTTTGAATTTGAAATGAAATTTAAATGAATTGAAAAAAAATTAATGACAAGCTGAGTTATTATTTTTATTTATGAACTATATACATTAATAAATAGTTATTTTCTATTTTATTGACATATTAATAAATAAATATAAGGTAGGAGGATGAATGTGATATTTGCCATTAGTGATTAAACTGATTCATTCAGTTACAAATTTCACTGGTAAATCTAGGTAAGCAGCAATAACAGCAAGAACTCCCAAATTTGATGCCATTCTTAGGAAGCGAGCAGGAAAAGGAGCAATTATTGATCGAGCAACACAACAAGGAAGTACATATTTGATGAGAAAGAGGTTGTTAGAATTAAGAACTTTTTTAGAAGATGTAGATAACCCTAATGTTTCACTAACAGAAAGACTGTGGAATGATCTTCCAGAATTGGAAACTCTTCTTACACCGTATATAGCCACAAAAAAAGCTGCACTCTGAAGAACTGACAGGAGGCGAGAATGGAAGAATGTGATGTTTATTCTTTCTGAAATGGAGGGTTTATTGCAGAAGGAATCATTTCTTCAATGAAGAAAAGTGAAACTAGTTTTCTAGACAATGAGTTCTTGCTGGGTTCAATATATGTAGATCTGAAACAATAAATTTTTTTGGATGACAAACAAATTAAAAAGGCAAAGAAAGCCACCTATGAACTTTCATTAAGAATAAAATTATTCTCAGAACAATTGGAGAATTTGAATCAGGACAGTCAAAAACTGAAGAAATTTTAATTGAATCTCTGTCATCCTCTTCCAGTGATGAATTAGATTTCGAGAGATAGTTTTGGATAATATTGGAAAGGCTACGGCAAAGCAAATGAAAATAAAGAACCAAGAGCCTTTAGATGTAAAAATGAAAAAATACAAACAAGATTTCTACACGGCCCTTGAAGAAATAGATATGATTGCGTTTGCAAGATACCTCTTTTAGAACTTATAAAAATCTATCCTGAAAAGTTAAAAGAAGTAGCCCTAACAGAAACAGCTCTTCCTCCTACTCAAGTTAGTGTAGAAAGACTCTTCTCAGCTCTGAAGTTTATCAAATCGGATCTATGGCTCTCCAACAAAGATCTTAACGAAGCTACTGTTTCTTAAAAATAACTAATGCCAGTTTTTTTCATTTCATAATAAATGCTAATTAATATAAATAATTTGCTATGCCATCATTTTTTTCTGTAGCATCTATTACTTCTTTTATATTAAAAAAATAAGCTGAAACTCATTTGTATATGTTTACACATATATGAGGGAGTCGGAGTCAGAGTCGGTAAAATTCCAGGAGTCGGAGTCGGTCATTTTCATAACCGACTCCACAGCCCTGGTTGTCCCTGGAATTACCCTGAACAATTAAAGAAATCTACAGCTTTTTTTTTTTTAAATGCTCTGTATAAAATGCTCTTTTGTTATAAATGAAAATATTAATAAAATTTAAAAGATTAAAAATCACACACATGAATAAATATTATGCAAAAATTAAGTCATAATACAGGCTGTTTCATATTGTGTAACTGATTTATTATGGCAAAATAAATTAATTCTGGAACTACAATTGTACTAGTTTTATCTGGTACCAGTGAAAAATCTTCTGGTTATGAAATCACTGCTAGAGGCCCTATTAATCAAAATAGCACATCCATGTAGAAGAATGTGTACTTTGTTCTGGATTATGCTAAAACATCATTGTTTATCAATATTAAAAGAAACTTTTGCATGAAATTTGGTAAAGAACCAATGCATTGTCCCAACATCGAATGGTGGATGAAGCAGTTTCAGGACACAGGCTGCCTGTGTAAGAAAATCAGCTCAGCATGAGCAGCAGCCAAAACTGAAATAGTTGAAAAAATTCATGAAATGTTTTCCACAAAATCAATGCATCATGCGAGTTCCAAACTCAATGTACCTCATGTGACAGTGTGGTATGTGTTACGCAAATGTCTACGATTCTGGCTTTCAGATGGTACAGGCATTAAAACCTTTTGACAAACCACTGTGTAAAGCTTGTGTAAAGTAAGAGCCTGTGTAAGTAAGAGCTTGCAAGATAAGCTTGAAGTAGATGGTTTTGAGAACAGACTTGTGTTTAAGGATGAAGCCACTTTTCATGTTTTGGGCAAAGTAATCTCCATTACTTAGGACTTTGCGCCGTGGAAAATCCAGATGAAATAGAACATGAAATTTTATTCGTGGAAAAATCGATTAATGGGTGCATTTACCAAGATATAATATCAGTTTGGTTCTTCCCTCAGTTACAGGAAGAGGTTCCCAGCTTCATTCGGCAGTAAGACGGTGCTCCACCACATTGGTATAAAAAATTACATTATTACTGTATTGACCATGGTGAGTCAAACGATGTGCCTCTGCCTTGTTGGCCACCGAGATTATTCTTTTTCTAAGCATATTCAGAATATCTTAACTAGTAAAGTTAGATATTAGTAAATCCTTCAAATTTTATGTAATTAAGGCAATATTTGCAGGGCTTTTGTGAAATACACAGTAAAAATTCACAAACTTTCGTGGTCTGGGAAATAAATTGTGGTCTAATTATTCTGTGAAAATTTTTTTAAAGATTTATATTAACATTTCTGAGAGAGAAAAAGGATGTCTAACAGAAATGAAGCAGTAACACGAATAAGTAGTACTATATAACTAAACATTATACATATGTTTAATTGTAATTTGCATTTATAAACTAATAAAGTTTTAGAAATGTACTTAACACCATTACTTTAGATCAAGATTAACACTACTTGATATAATTTTGAGACAACTTTTTTTCATATTTCAGAAGTCCAAAGTATTTTAGATTTGTATTTTGAAAAAGGTTATTTAACAATACATTTTTATGTAAAATCTAACAGAAAGTAGTACAAAATTTATTTAAATATAATTTACCAATTTTAACATATATTAAAAAGTAATAAGAGTTAAAAAAGATAAATTTGCAAAAAGAAACTAATATTTGTGAAATCTTAGAAAATTACCCAAAATAACCATAATTAAAATCTGCTACAACATAACCTATAATGAACTTATGCTTATAATTAATTTATAATGCTGTATTTAAACTCATGCTGAAAGGTGAAATAAAACTAATTGCTTACGTATGAGAAAAAATTAACAGCTGTTAACAAGAAAATGTATACATTTTCTGCAGTTATTTAATGAATTTAAATTTTAACCTTATGACATGGTTTATGACAATGGGATCAGCAGGATGGAGCAGCTGATGAAGTCTTTGAGGGATTTCAGCAAACTTCATTCTGGAACACTGGAATATCTACAAATATATAAACATTATAAAAATAAATAAATAAATAGAAGAACTTATTTGGAATATAAAATTTAGACATTTACATTTCTTTAGAAATATCTCAAAAACTAATTTAACTGCATATTACTTCAAATTATTCAATGAAATAACTTACCTGCTCTAAATATTTATCACAGTTTATATACTCTCGCTCATGAGCATCTTGAAGTTTATGTGTTTTTATGTATTGCCAAAGTGCACTGATGATTATCGGTCGAGTCTGAGTATGAATGCCCAAAAGACGAGCCAAACGGGGATCCAACTTGAACTGCAGAGGCTACATCATAGATGATACATGTAAGCAATTTTTCGTTAATACTAACATATTAAAAATAGAACATTTTCATCACAGACAGCAGTATTATCAATTGCATATAGATATATAGACAAAATATTGATAAAATATATGCACCAAAGTGTAAACGATAGCTATTTTATTAGAAAAATCAAAGAAGGACATCATTGCGTTAACACTTATTTCATACCGATATGATATTAATTTTATACATTTTCTTTGCTAAATTTGTATAGACACAAAACAAGATTTGCAAACAATGTAAGTTTGAATTGAGTCGTTCAATTTAAACATAAATCCTATACAAAAACAAACACAGGAAAAGTTTAGAAAAATAAATACCAGTGATTCCAAAACAAGACATGTAGTATTTTATCACTTACTGCCATAAAAGTAATCAAAAATCTTAATTATTATTATTTTTTTTTTTGGTTACAACCACTACCAATGACATAAACAATATCTATAAAATTTTAGTGTATTGTACATAAATGTACTTTTTCCTCATTAACATATTATTTTCTGGTTTACTTCTTTGAAAGATTCACATACATATTTAATACACATACGTTATACAATATGCATTATTCAGCTCTTTATATTATAAATAAGCTCTCCAATTAAAAGTAAGCCACTGGCAATTAAATTTTTTAGAAATCCAAAGTTATATACAGTATAAAGTCTTTAATCCGGACCTCAAAGCTACAAGCTTTCTGCGCATTCGTCAACGCATAATACCTTTACGCATGCGCGTTTAATGTATAACAGATGGTCTGAGCTAGGCTAAAATTATCTAGTTATCTATTTCAGTTAATGTTGCAGATTGCGTTGTTCCTTAATCTTCTAATTGGATCCGGCTTATTATTTTTTGCAGACTGTTAGAGCAATTTTATAAAAAGTAAGCTAGAACTTTCCATTATGTCAAAAAGAGTCTCCAATTCTGGAGCTGCCAAAGCGAAAGCATGTTTCGATGTCCGTTAAACAAAAAGTGCAATTGCTGCAAAAAATGGATAAAGGCATGAAGAAAGTGACAAAGAGAGGTGATTTGTTTCTCTAACCATTCCGAAATCTGTTTATTAATTTGATGCTGCTCTGCGGGGAGAGGGGGGCAGCGTCGCGACGCGCGATAAACTGGAAGTTGATCTGTCAGCACTATCCTAATCTTCAGGGCGGATGTCTTTATTTTATGCGGCTTATAATTTTTTACTAAATGTAGCGTTTCATCTCGATGTACTCCGATATGATTTAAATCAATTTCCTCGTCATTATAAATATCACGAATACACATCAAATAGTTTTCTGGTTGCAATTTTCTAATTTTGACTATGCATAATGTATGCTTTACGCATGCGTGCGTTGAAAGAAATGTTTAATAAAGTAAACAAATAAATATTAAGCTTTTTTTTTTTTGTAAATTTTGATACCCTTTAGATCATAATTGCTCTTTATATATTACTATTTCATATTTTTAATTGTATAATTTCTGCATGCCATCTTACCAGATTTAAATTTATGATCTATAATCAGGAAAAACCCCTAAACCGGAATTGCCAAAGTCCCGACGAGTCCGGATTAAAGACTGTACTGTACTGATTTTCAATGGTGACATGGACTGCTGCTTTTAATCCAAATATTGTTTAAGGGACAAAAATAAAATATAATCCATCTTGTAAAATATAATATGCATAAGGGATGAGATACGTATACATTTTAAGCATTTGTATGAAACCCTTTGATTTTGTCTCTTTTTAAGATGTGTAACATTTCTGAGATATTTTTATGATTAACTCTTTCTGGATGAGTGTCTCATATACGCATTCCCTACCAACATCTCTCACAAGCTGGCGATCGAGTCATGTGTCACTAGAGACCGAACTTAGAGGACTGGCGATGCGTATAAGCATTTTAAGCTGGGACTTTTTTTTTAAGATCAATAGATGACACCCTATGTCCATTACCTTTGAAATGAACACAGTTTTAGGTTCTTGACCTTCAGTTTATATATATTCTGCCTACCTTGCTATTTTACTCATTAGTTGTTGCAAGGGAGGCGGTACAGCATAATGTAAACAGAGCTGGGCTCTTTAAATGCCCCGTGCTAATATAAACATTTGTGTTTCTGATTTATATCAAATTCCTTTTTTTAATTTTCTCTTCTACTATTTATGGCCTTTTAGGGTTACTATGTGGGGTTCTGTTACATTTTCTATAGCCGTCAGATACTTTTCTGGTCATACCCCTTTTTATTTCAGAAAGCCTCAATTTTAGTCTATTATGGCTTGAAGGCGTTATTTATCAGAGGAAGAATACCCTTGTATGGTAAATGAACCATTCACTGACACAGATGAGAGTGATGATTTAATTTCCCAAACAGTTACAAAGTGATATTTCTAGTGGTTCTGATATGGTCATTTTGTCAGAGACAGACCTCAGTGAGTGTCTGCCTTCAACTTCCCATGAAAGTGCAACGCAAGCTAATTCATCTTGGATTCTCGCACTTGAGGAATTGCATCCCTATACATTTACTTGAACACCGGAAATAAATTATATGGTAAATGCTGAAAATATTTTCTTTGATGATGATCTACTAAATTTGATTGCTGAAGAAACAGTTTTGCTCAAAATGTTCAAAGAAGTGCTCAGTCAACTTAGAAGTCAGCCCGATTTTCAGATGTAAATGCTGAGAATATATTACGGTTGTTCAAATGAAAAGATAAGAAATGACACTATGGATATATTAAAGTCATTATTCACAAGACCTGTAGTAGTCACCAGAGACCTGAGCAAACTATCCCACTGTTTTACAAGTCAAAAGATTCCTTGTTTCCAGAATTCCTGTAGCGGTAACAGGAGCCTATCCTCAACTGTATGTCATTCGAGCTGAAGCTTTTTCCTTTTCAGATGTCACTTCTCACCAGGTCGTTCACTTTGTCAATCAGTTCGACCATGACTGCCTGGCTTGGGTTATCACTTAAACTGGCACTCCACTTTCTCATTTATTTGTTGGATGCACAGTCTTTCTCATATATGACCAACATCCAGCAATGAATATTAGCTGAGTTAACCCCTTAATCATTTAGAAATCTGATAACACCTTGCTACTCTTCAATCGTTGAATTCTGCAATGTGAATGCATTATGTCCTCACACACACTGCCACATCAGTTGGACGGAATACACAACTGCCTGCTACTCTCCTGTGTCATGGGTGGATGTCCAGCACATGTGCACAACTACGCCGGATACTTAATTTGTGTCTTTACATGTCTCATTACAATATGCCAAAGCGGCATATTCAAATTTCAGCTAGTTTATTTGTTATAAAGTTTTGTCCCTTTTCATTTGAACATCCCTCATAAAAGCACTTTTTAGCTGTTTTAACTTTTATCGTGCAAGTCTGTAAAAGAATTGTGTTATTTGCATTATGCGAAACGGCCGAAACAATTTCTTCTTTCTGTTCTTTAGTTTGTGTATCATTTTTCGAAATTAATATACTATCCTTTTTATCACTTGGTGTATTTTAAACTATCGAACTGGATTTAAAATATATGGCTTCTGAATGTTTACCCTTGCAAATTTTACAAACATTAGTTTGGCGTTGCCGGCACTGTGAGATTTTGTGTTTAGGGGCCAAACAAAGAAAACAACGCGCTTGTTTTTTCAAAATATCTCTCTTCTCATTAACTGTAAGGCATAAACAGGACTCTGAGTCATGGTTTTGAAAACAAAGTTTTGATTTGATGACGCAGCTGCCATAAATTCATGTGTGGTGACAGTTTGTTTATGTTTCGGCGTCGGTGGATATCTGTTAATACCTTTCATTTCCGGGTTTGACTTGCGTGGAAAGGATAACGAATTAATCTTTTCTCGCGATTCTATTTCTAATCGGAGAAAGTCTAGAAATTTGTTTAAATCATAGGTTGAAGGATTTTCAGTATTTGTACGATGAAATTCTAAAGTTTATATCGTTCGGGACAATTTTCATCATCAAAATTGGAATAAACATGTTGGAATATGTTTCTGGTTTCACACCGAATGCTAAAAGGCTTCTGACTTGAACGTTAATTGTATCATAAAGTTTTTCGCAATTTTGCCACTTCACTTGAACTTTGAACGGGATTTAAATTTAAGAGATTAGAAATGTGTGTATTGATAATAAGGTCACTTTGACCGAAATCTATTTTTAAGAATGTCTATAGCAGAGGTCCATAATTAACCTCTGACATTGACAGACCTTCTATGGCTGATGCTGCGTTTCCACATAAATAAGTTCTCAAATAATTAAATTTTTCCATCTTCGAAAGTGTAACATTGTCATGAATAGTGACCTTGAATGAATTCCAAAAATTCATCCAATCATTATAGTCTCCAGGAAAATTTGTGAATTAACAGTTTGGGCAATTTCACATTGCCTTCAATCTGTCTTTTGGTTTCAACTTCTGTAGATGAAATATTTAAATTCGTGTTGATATTTTGAGTATTGTATTTCCTTAAATAGCGGTTGATTTTAGACTTCGCTATTATTATTTTATCGTTATATTCCATAGAAGTGTTAATATCTGAATCTAATTTTGATTCATCTTCAATCAAATTTTGTATTTTTTTCATTTAAATCATGTAGTTCCGTTTCTTTACTATTTAACAATTCCAAACAATTTTCTAACTCTTTTTGATTTTCTTCTTTTAAATACTCATCTACAATTTTAATAACTTGAGTTACAGAAGCACGTATATGTGCTCGATTCTTAATTAGTGTCTTCTGTTCCATTTTAATAAATTATCAAAGGAGACTTACCGTGAGAAGTCTTCGCTTACAAAGCTAATCCAAAAGGTGAAAAACACAAATTTTCAAATTAATCAGATTCTTTTCTGGAGCCGATGCACCATTGTGTAACGAAAGTTCTAGATCAAAGTCGAATCACTCATAATCCAAAATACAAAATGCATGGCCTGGAGGGTTTTCCATAAATTTTAATTAAACTTAATATTTACATATATACAATGTAGGCT